GGAAAGATTACTAAGGCAGTACTGGTAGGAATAGAGCTCATGTGTACTGATTGTACTGGTGCTTTCATGAATCTTCACATGTATTGCATCTTATAGAATTCATAACGAAAAAGTTATTTTTATTATGTTCAAGACAAACATGGTGTTTATTTATTTATTTGTTGAGACAGGGTCTTCCTATGTAGTTTAGGCTGTCCCTAAACTTGTAACTATCCTGCCTTGGTGTCCATAGATTTAATTTTGATATTGATGTTAGTAGCTACCATGCTAGGCTGAACAAAATTCTAATAGGGATTAAAACAATAGAAATTTAAATTAAGTCATTACACAGAATTCTTCCAGAAACATTCTTATAGTTACTTCGATTGCTTGCAATGATTTGGTATCCAAAGCAACCATGAAATTAGTATGTATGAATATTATTTAATAAAAAAAATATACAAGTTAAAGATGATAGCGTCTACATTTTAGAGAGAGATTTCCTTTGCAATCATAGAATATGCCTGGATGTTTGGGAAGGTATGCAAAGATTAGTATAGTTAGATAAATATTTCTAAGTGCCACAGAAACAGCAAATCATATTTATAATACTTATGAGTCAAAGAAAGTCTTCATTTACTACTAGGTAATGTGCCAGACACTACCATGGTGGCGTTAGAACAGCTATAAATTCATAGATACATTATAATGCTCATCACATTAGTTGGTTTAAAATGTCATGCTAATTATATCTGAGGACAAACCATGGTGGAGAAAGACCAGAAGAGAATTTTTGTGGGTCTGTTAGCATACACTTGTACTGCCTTGAAAAAATACTTGGGAATTAATTTACACGACACTCAATGTATCTTTTATATTTCTATGTCCAAATTGCTCTGCTCTCTCTTCCTTTGTTGAATTAATCTACTGCAACAAAACCAAATTTACATACAATAGCTTAGATCTGAAATTGATCTTGTAGGCTTATGCAATAAAGGCTTTGTGGCCAACTGAATAACTTTGAGAAGGGATTGGATCCTAAGGTCTCCAACCTAATCACTAGAGTAATCTTCGTCAAGTACCTATAACATCATTAGGAAAGTATTGCCAGTGTGGTGGCCAATGCGCTTCAAGCCAATGAAACTGCACAGCATGGTCCTGTGCTGCATGAGAAAGAAACCTGTTTCTTCAGGCTTGTCCCTTAAAACTACAACCAGCTCTGCTTGTGATGTCTAATTTGAACAGCCAATCATTGTAGGCCAGTGAGGAGGATGCCAACATATGGCAGGAATGAGCTAAGTGTGTGTATAATGTGTAATTGAAATTATTTTTATTAGTACAAAACAACAAAATTCAAAGAAGATCTTGAAAGAATATTAACAATCGACAAATCTACAATTTAAGGCAGGAGAAGCAGCTGCGGGGAAAGAAAGGAGACTAGCCATGCACAGCCCTGATAAAGAACACTCAGCTTCTCAGTGGGATAAGGAGGGTTGAATGAGCTGAGTGACAAGGGCTCAGCCCTTGTGGACTTTGGGTAAAAAGGAGGGTGCACATTCCTGCGGGGTGCAATCCACCATCCCCACCATTTACGTGTGTTCCTGGTCATGTGCACAGAGAGAACATGGCTGCCACCTCTGTCCAAGGAAAATTCTCAACCAGGACCTTTCTCCTATATCTATCCTCTGGAACAAAAGCCTTCATCTACGTGGGGTGCAGTAGTAAGAAACATAGTGATGCTTAAGATGCTTGGAAACTCACAGAAATGGAGAAACAGAAAATAATCATTCAGTTTCTAGAATATTCAGTGCTAAAAAAATGCTGCAATCCCTGATGAAATGAGAAAGGCTAGACACTCTAACTCTGTTTGAGCCCTGCCTACTACTTCAGCTGCATGATAAGTGGGCGGATGAAGAGGGCCACAACCCTAGATCCAGTGCCCACCCAAGAGTAATGTTTACCATGGAGAGCTACCCTCCCTGTCGCCAGCACCATAAGTATTCACAAGTAACAGCAGGGTATTGCCAGAAGAAGACCAAGATCCCAGGTAAGTGCAGAGCTAGATGGTGTTCTGAAGCTGACGGTGAAGTAAATGTTGAGAAGGAACTCCAGGCAAAGAGCATCTAGCTGGAAAACAGTACTGCTACATGGGACAAAGATGTGTGTGTTCATGTGCACGTGTGTGTGTGTGTCTGTTTTATGGGGGGGGAGGGGGCTGTTTTGATTATTTGAGACAAGATCTTGCTATTATTAGTTTAAGCTAGCCTCTAACTGGCCATGTTTCCCAGGCTGGGATTACAGGCATACCCCACCCCACCTGGTCTCTGCAAAGGAGTCTGATCCCAGTGCAGCACCAAGGAGAATCAAGGACAGTCAACTTTCAATCAAACTCTCTCTAGAATTCCAGCAGCAGGACTCTGGTACCCATTTCCAGCAGATACTCGGCTTCCTTGTCTCTATATCCTAAACCAGGTGCTTGGCTTTAAATGGCAGATCACAGGTCATAAAACAAGTCACAAGTCACCAAACAGAAAATCTCAGGCAGTCCACAGATGTAGCAACTGGGACAGGGAAGGTAAAGGAAGTCAGAAATGGGTAAACACGGGTAGGAGCGGGTAGCAACTGATGGAAACAAACAAACAATGAGTCAGTCAAATTGGCATGCAAGGGGTGAGAACCACAGGCAGGGAGCTGCAGGAAGAGCATGAACCTTTGTGTATGCGGAGCCCTGCTAAAGCACCAATTAACTTTGGACCCCTGCCCATGGTAATTAACCAGACTGAAATACAGGGAGAAAAGGTTCCACCTCTCCTAGGCATCTTTACTCAAAAGAATTTAGAGAGAAAATCCTATGCCTGAGTGTCTATCGTATTTCTATTCATAATACAGCTCAGATGTCTTTCAGCCTATGAGCAGATAAAACACGGCATAGCCAATCAATCATATACTAGTTACCATTAAAAAAGAATGAGCTATGGCTACTTGTAACCACACTGGTGAATCCCAAATACACTTTGCCAAGTGAAAGCAGCCAGATTTAAAGGCCATTGTTTTGCTTCATTTATACAAAGTTAAAATAAAACAGGTAACTGTTTAGAGGTAGCGGGAGTGGCTCTCTGCAGAGGGACGAACACAAAGGATACTGAGGTGACTGTGGCAGTAGGTAGACAACTCTAAGCCTTTGTCAATGACTGAGGAAGAAAACAGTCAGGAGTGCATTTCACTCTTTGTCAGGCGAGAGGAGGCAGTGCCGCGTAGAATACAAAGTCCAAATGTTAGCAACCTTACCTCTGAATAATTACCGCAGCGACACAGATAGAGGACAGAATTAACTAAGGAATCTCAGAAATCAGTATTGTGGTAGGATATTATTACAAACTAATGATAAAAATGTTCAGATACATTCTAAATAATGTTTCCAACAGGAATATGAATTAGCAGTTCTGAGATGTCTTAGGTACCATAGAATTATACAAGTAAGGAAATACATTGTAAACCATTGGGATCGGGTTTCTAGTTGTCAAAGAACAGATCACTCTGTATTGACCTGGAATTAGACTAGAACTATGAACTCAGAGAATATTGTAGAGACTAATATAGATAGGAAAGTGATATGTGTGTGTATGGGACTAATATGCACAGTGCTTATAGATAGGATTTTTTTCTTTAATTTTTGCATCCCAAGGCCAACTCAATGTCATGCTTTCTAAGAAGGCTCACACACTGCCTTCTACAGCTCCTCTTTCAATTTATAATTCCTCCATAGCATTACCTCGGCTGTCATGGACTTTTGCACATATTTTTAGAGATCCTTCTAGATAGAAGATTCTTAAAAGTATTGAAGGGGCTCTAGCCAGCCCAAGCAGGTCAAACATGTCTCTGGCAGGCCTTGCCCTTCTCCCCATTCCCTCTGCCTTGCTAAAAAACCATTAGATTATATTCCTAAAGCTAGCCACCAAGGTCTATTTCCTTATTTGGCCATTTCCTCCTCCTGAGGCTGACCACCAAGGTCCAGCTATCAAAGTATTGAAGTCCAGCAATCAGAAGCCCCCTGTGACTGCCCTAATTAACATACCCAGTTAAAATTAAACACCTCATTCTATCACTGGGTTTCCCTTTCTTTTCCTTTTGTAAACTGCCATTTTCCTATGTGCCATGACTGTCTCTTCTCTAACCAGAGGCAGTACCTAGTTCCTCTGGGGCAAATCTCTCTCTCTCTCTCTCTCTCTCTCTCTCTCTCTCTCTCTCTCTCGTTCCCCTCCCCTTCTCCCTTGTCCTCTAACTCCTATCTTTATCTTTTATTCTTTGACCTTCGTCCCTCTGGGGCAAATAAATCTCCTTTGCACTGAGAACTCGGTCGTGGGGTGTCCTGTGCCAATCCTGCTCCCGTCAACTGTGTCCCATTTCTCCTTATTTGTCTCCAATACATGGGCTCATTCAGTTCTCCCAGTTAATTTACTCCTGTCCAATCTACCGCAGTCCAGCCCACTCCTCTCTCTAACAAAAGTGTGAAAGGCTCTGACCTGGTCAACCTGTTTCATGCTTTTTCTCTCACTATCCGGTATGCACTCAATGGTTGTTTAAAAAAATCCGTGCTCTGTCAATTTGAGTTATTTACGATTTTTCAGTGGACTCCACTGCCGGGACTGTGACCCACGCTGTTGCTCTCGTCCTCAGAGCTCTGCACATAACACACAGCTCCACTCCCACTCACAAGCTTCCTGTCAGTTCCTCCAACTCAACAGCCTCTTTCTTGGGGGCTTTTGCAGCTGTGACTGACTTCAGTTACAAAGAGCCTTTCAGACTATGAGTGGGGAAGGATCTTTTTTTCCTTGTGGATCTGCCATGTAATTATACCTTTGTAAAAGACAGCAAAAAAAAAAACTATTAGAAAAAGATTAAAGACTTTTAGTTTCAGATTGAATAGACATAAATGTGGTCTTATCAAATTGCTTCATAAGTTATAAATGTATACTCTCAATGGAACGAATCAGGGTCCAGGAAGCGCTTGCTAACGGTACCTGATTCATGGACTGCTGAGGACTCGGAGCATCGGTGATTTCATCTGCTTGTTTAGGTCTCTGCCTTCCGCCAAAGGTCTGTCCTGACCATGCCTTCTCATCAGCATGCTCCTTCGAACTTTCCATCACTTTACTCTCTTTAATTGAAAACAGATGTGCAACGATGAGTGTTCATGAACACATACACTCATGCACACACATGCATGCACACACACATGCACACACATACTTTATTCTCTGTCTTGCCATCCTAAACTCCAGGTATCAGATACCATGACCACTGTGTTCACTCTGGCACACATCTGCAAAGCCAAGAAGAGACAAACTCACTTTGGAACAGATGGTTTTCTAGTCTTTACACACTAACCTAAAGTGTGAAATTCCAAGCGGGATGTATAAAGTGAAGTTTCCAAAACTCATTTGTCCTTGGAGCTGTTTTTTTTCAGATGTGTGTCACGAAATATAGACTAGGAGATACTGATCTAAAGAAGTATCCAGAAAGTTTCAGAAGGAAAAACTAGTTTGCCAGGTTTCACATGATAAGGAACCACTGATGCTTGACTTCAACATGCTGCAGTCATTTCCAGAGCAGACAGGAAAGAACTGGAATTGTGCTCAAGATTTGGCTGACTACACACGTGTGACATTCACTTAGTTTTCCTCCTCCCTCACTTCCCCGCCTTGGTTTCCTTTTTGTTCTTTCATGCTTTGGGACTGAAACATAGAAAACTGAATTCCCCAAATTTCCTAGTCTAATGACTCCTGAGTAAGGAGTCTTTCACAAACAGGCAACCACAGGGTATTGGAAAGATAGAAATAAAGAGACTTCCCCCTCCCCTTTAAAATTACAACTGTGTCTGAAAGCAGTGGGTGACCTGAGGCTTAAGTGACTGCCTACGGTTGTGACGCAGTTGAGGGTCCTGGCAGAAAAGCAATTGTATGTCAACCAGCGGCATGCTCCCAGGCTTTGAAGGCCCTCCTCAGGTCGCCAATGGTTTGCACTGCCGGAGCCTAAACTCAGAACTTTGTTCATGCTAGGCTAGTGTTCAGTCACCCAGCTACACTTTCAGCCCTCAAGGCCTTCAATGTCGCTGCAATTCTACCAGCAAAATTGTCAGTGGTGTGGTTCTGCCTCCAGCAGTGTCCTTGGGTGAGTGACATCCTAGGTCTCCACTGTGTGCATCCAGTCAGGACGTCGCAGGGATTTCCTGAAGTCATGGGTTCTTTCCATAGCTTGTACTCCAACAGGCTTTCCTACACTTTCACATTTATTGACGGACTGACTGTGCGTGCACATTTGCCAGGGCATGCTTGTGAAGATCGGAGGCACAGGGCCAGAGACGATTCCCTTTTCCCATCATGTAGTTTCCAAGGATGGGACTCAGGTCACCAGACTTGGTGACAAGCACCTTTGCCCACTGATCCGTCTTGCTGGTCCCATAACACTTTTTCTTTTCTGGTTTTTCAAGACATGGTTTCCCTGTGTAATAGCGCTATAGGTCCTGGAGCTTGCTCTGTAGGCCAGGGTGGTCTCGAACTCACAGAAATCCACCTGTCTCTGCCTCCCGAGGGCTGGGATTAAAGGTGTGCACCACCACCACCTGACCCTACTTTTAAAAATCAGTCCTTTGTATGCAAGTCCTTCTATGTGAGGTTTATATTTTCTGATTTATGTGGAGTCAATATAGAAAAGGGTATTTTATGCAAGTAAAGAAATATCACCTTGCTTATCTTATGTAAATATTAAGAGGAAAACTCTGAGTCTAGTAGAATAATTGACTCATTGGATGATTCCATGAAGCCAGGAGTCTGTTTTCTGTCACCTCTGTTATGACTCTTGTGTGTTCCCACATCATTCTAAATCTAACCATTTCACTTCCTCCCTTGATGGCTTCTGGTTCTAAAGGAACACGGGACCCTGTATGAACCACAGGACAAAGTCCTTTGTGATCCTTCTCAATTTACCCAAAGCCACCTCAAAGGAACCATCTGATTAAAGGCTATGTTTGCTCTGAAAAGTACCTTCAGGAGATGCATCTCCTACTTGCTAATGGATCCTGTCTGTATAAAACCTCCTTTAGCGCTACTCTACATTTAGTAATTAATATCACTCTTTTCTTCCTTCCTTCCTTCCTTCCTTCCTTCCTTCCTTCCTTCCTTCCTTCC